GGCACGTAAAGCAGGCTTTGCATTAGCACTGCCGCTCATGAGTCCTTTTGGAACCTTAACACAACCCTTGGGATCTGTGGCCCAATTCCGGATGCACACACACGGTGTAACCAAGGAACAAGGCACACCAACACCCACAGCTAGGATCAATCTGAAGGGGACCCCAGGACGCCCTTCAGGCTGTGCCAGATTCACACCAGGGGAAGGCGGTCGGCACATCACTGCAATGTCACGGGGAGGGCGATCTGAATCAGGCTGGGTACAAACCACCTCTAAAAAACCTGAGTTTCCCCCATTGGGTCTTCCAAAGTATTTTCACCCCACCATGCAACCCCCACCTGGCCCGCAGCAGGTGAGACATGCAGCTGATGTAGAGCACCAGCAAGGGGACCCCCAGCCTCTGGCTGCCCTCAGAGCTCTGCAGCAGCTCCCACCCCGCCGGCATGCTCCTGCAGACACACCGGGGCTGGATTTCTACCTGTTGCTTTGTAGAAACCAGCTCAGCATCCCTCATATCCCATCCTTCCACCTCCTTGTTTCCAGTCACATCAATTGACCTGCACAGTGGGATCTTCTGCGGCAAAAATTAAAAGTGTCCTAATTGCAAATGTTAACAAATGAACAGGAAAACGTGAAGCCTCAAGCCAGGTTTCAGCCCCGCAGCGTGCTCAGAGGCCAGCGTATTCGAAGCGTCCCCGTTTCCCCTGGCATCCAGCATGCAATGGATGTTCTGCCACTCCCCAGGTCTAAACGCCTCCAGACATGGAGCAATTCAGCAAGGTGCAGAGAGCAATCAAGAGCTGGCTGAGAAATGGTTTTGCGCTAAGCCCTAGCTGAGGATACTGGAGATTCAAGTTTAATTCCTTGTAACACCAGTGCAGCACCTCAGGCCTGGACCCAGCCCAGCTGAGTTCCCACCACAGATGTCGCTGGCCAAGGCTCTAATCCGGGGTCCCTTCATCGTCAGGGGAGAACCATTCACAGGATGCGATTCCTTCAACCATTTTAAATGGTTGGACAGGGCTGACTCACCTGGCGCACTGAGCTCGCTGCTGCTGAAAGGTGCTGGGGTGGCTCAGCCAGCCCCGCTCCGGCATGGACATCCGAGGGCAGCCACCGCCAGCCTCCCCCGGCAGAGCGGGCAAGCGGCCACAGCCCTGCCTCATCAGCACAGCGTTTGGGGTTGCTGTCCTTTAGGGGTGACGCGCTGAGCACTGACCATTTCAACCCATGTAACGGTATCAATGCACAGAGCAAACCAACATTATCCACAGAGACCTGGTCCGGGCAAGCCAACCCAACCACCCGCTCATCTTCACCCCCTTCCCATGCCCATGGCTGACCCTGCCTTGCATCAGAGCTCCAGCGTGGCACAGCCTACACTGCACTCGCAGCCAGCGGTACAGGGAAGCGGGGCCAGCCTCTGCCAAGTGCAGGAAACGTCACCGTGGCATAGCTTGGGGCACAAGTGACACCCATAGGTGCTCCCGCACCCCATCCCTGGCGGAGGAGAGGACGAGAAGAATTTCGCTTGTTCCATTCAGCAAAACAAAGCCTGCGAGGGGACATGGTGGTGTCCCGCAGCAGCGGGGCAGCAAGGCTGAGCAAGAGCCATCCCAACCCCACGGGATTAAAACCACCCCCAAACCTTCTTTTGAAGCCAGAGATACCCAGAGGGCTGGGTGATGAATGCCAGCCCCACCAACTGGGCAGCTCGAGAGGTCTCTGCCCTCCGAAGCTGTGAGATTCCAGTGCTCGGCACTCCGCCGGGCTCGCTCGCTGCCTGCCCTAACGCTGCTGACGTGGCAGGCTTCCCTGCCCAGGGTGAGCACGGCTTTAGAGGCACATGGCAGCCACATCCAAGGGGACAAACCTGACACAGCTCTGGGGAGAACCAGGAGACTCCAACCAGTCACAGGTTCCTGTCAACGAGGAGCCAAGCAGGGAGGGGAACCCAACACACGCCGTGGAGCAGACAGGGGCAGGTTACCCCATCTCCCCACCTTGCCTTGCAGGAGTTACCGACCCCATGGTCCGCAGCCCCGGCTGCTGGAGGTGTCAGCGCCGGGTGGTGAGACGTCGTGCTGACGAGGCTGAGGAGCACCCACTCGCACACCCCTGCTCCAAGCCTCCCTGCAGCAGCCTCCAGCGTGGCTGTGTGGACGGGCATCCCAGCAAAGCTCATTTTGCTGCTCCATCCGCGACTGAGCCGTCTGCGCGGGGCAAGGCTGGGAAAAGGCTCCTTTCCCTGCACCAGTTATACCATCATACTGCCACGAACTGCTGCCCTGCTTCTCTTATTTCAAGTGATTTTAAAGCTAAATGTTGGGGCTAAACCTTGCTTCTGACCAGCTGAAGCAAAAATGAAGGGAACCGGGGCTACACGGAGGAAAATGCCTACCGGATCTCCCAGCACGGGCTGGAAAGCAGCTCCACACGCTCCACAGGCCCTGCCAGCACGTTACAGACCAGTCTAGCTCGCGGCACGGTTGTACCAGAAACAAGAACTCTCCTAAAAAGCCTCCTGCCCT